CAGCGCTGGCAGAGCCTCTCCACCGCCAGACTCGCATCGCTGCGGGCACCCCCACCGTCGTGTTATGGGTTCTTTTGCCTTTTACAAAACCCCAACAAGTGCCAGACCCCGCAGAGACCGCAGCAGGGCCCAAACCAGCACCCTCCACCACTCCTTAAGCCTCATTCCCTCAGCATCCTCTCCAACCCCCCAGGAAGGCAGAATAAAGCACTTTTTAGCAGTATTCTGCATAGCTGGAAGCCTGACCCCCCGTTCAGACTTGCTTCATTAGGCTGAAGGACCTCAATTAGCTATTCCCAAGCCTGGATTTTAATTGCCCTTGGCGCCTTACCCAGGGTTCCCCCCCCCACTGTCCCTCATCTTCCCTGAAACGAGACACCCCGGAGCGGACACAGTATCCCCGCTGGAACCCTACCAAGGCCGCCCGACCGGGCGACGGGAGAAGAATCGTCACCGGTAGATCGATGTCATCTTACACAGCATAACGAAGTTTTGGTTTTTAATTAAGAGTTCAAGGAATGTTTTTCCCTGTACGACAAGAAACAAAAAGGCAAGATAAAAGCCTCCGACCTGATGGCCGTGATGCGGTGCCTGGGAGCCAGCCCGACGCCGGGAGAGGTGCAGCGACACCTGCACCTGCACCGGATCGGTGAGCAAAGGGCAGCGACAGCCCGTGAGTAAAACACCCTGGGCTCTGGCGGGAGAAATTCCCCTTTCCCGCGGTCAGGAGGCCACGTGGAAGGACGAGGAGCCCCGTAGGTCAGCCGCGCTCGGGTGAAAGCGCAGGCAGTGCGGCACAACCGGCAGCAGCCGCCAAAACCCAGCCCGGCGCGGCAGACGGTGAGCCAAGTCAATCCAGCACGCCGGTTACCGCGGTGCTGTTATAGAACCTTCCAGAGCAGCGGGATACGTGCTGGTTATGCATGGTGAGGCTGGGAAGCTGCCCAGTCGAACAGCAGAGGGAGAGGAGCGCGAGGATATTCATCTGCAGGTAATAAGTAAATTTAAAGCCCAGCACAAAGACTAAAGTGGGCTGGATTCAAAATCCTGGATCCCAGGTTTCAGAGCCCAAGCCTAACAACGCTAGAACCGGGGTTTTGGGCCAGGAGAAAGCCCCCAGCAGTGGTCCAACACCAGTCAGGGAAAAGGTGCCCCTGGAAGGAGAACTGGGAGGGAAAGGAAGGGGCGATGCTTGGGTCTGCATCCAGACTACAGAACTGAGCCCTCCCTAAAGAATCCGCTCTTCTTTTTCCAGACAGAAACGCGGAGTTGGATTTCTCCACTTTCCTGAATATAATGTACAGGCAAATGAAGCAGGAGGAGCCCGAGAATGAAATCCTCAGGGCCTTGGCCATGATAGACCGGCAGAAGAGGGGCGTTATCACCGTTCCGGAGCTGAGAGCCAAGCTGACAAGACTGGGAGAAAAGCTTTCTGAGGAAGAAGGTACCTTGCAGTTCAAAGATGTATCGAACGCTCCCCATCTCCTTCCTCCCTCCCTGATTTTCCTCTGTAGTGGACTCTGGGATCAGGCACTTCCAGCTGGGAAGCCAGGAAGGAGATAGAGCTGGTGGGGGGAGAAGGGCCATCCCCCCATCACGCCCAAGACTCGGAGCAGAGCATCACACGTCCCCAGGGCCACCCCACCGGCGCCATCCCCCTGCCACAGCCGCACGATGTTTGACAGGGAAAATGCCATTTAATGGGTCAGCCTGTACGGAAGAGAGCATTTTCAGTTAGGTACCCACCGGCAGTGACACGGCGTGCCCAAAGCGGGAGTGAGAAGCATCGCTGCTGCCAGGTGCCCACTGCACTCCTCAGAAACATTTCCGGCGAGAGCCGTAGAGCCCAGCTGAGGTGGTTTCCTTTGCTTTCCCACCCCAAAAGACTGCTGCTATTAACAAGCGGCACACACCCCTACTTCGAGCTGGGGACACGATCCGCACGAGCACTGAGTTCTGTCTGAACTGACCAGGGACACGTTTGCTATTCAAGCCAAATAAGCCACTCCTACCAAGGGTAATTAAAAGCTGATCTGGGTTAAATTTGTTAACCTTGCCTGTGTGGAACTCTGAGATGGACATCTCTGCTCCAAACTGCTTTGGGGTTTTTACAGTTAGACCTCAGAATCGAAATCGAGGTGTTAACTGATGCTAGTTTAAACCTAGAGTCTGAGCCCAGCTTTACTACTAAAACCCTGCCCTACCCTCCCGAAGATCACAGCACCCCTAAGACATGCCACTCAAATCTGCTTTTGCTCTTGCAGTTGACGACCTGCTCAAAGAAGTCAAAGTTGGACCAAACGGAACAATAAAATATGAGGAATTTGTCCGCACGATTTGCTTTCCTACAGTCGACTACTGAAACGCAGAACAAAAGGTTTGGCAAGCGCAGGACCTGAAACACTTCCGACTTCGGCTCTTCCTGGTTCCCACCTGGACTCAGGAATCATCTGCCTTTAAAAATCCTTATTTTGCCTTCACGGTAGATATAGGTCCCCACCTACTTCCAGGGTAACACTGACACAAAATGAGTACTCTGTTATTAAAATAAACCGTGTGACGTTCCTTGGTGTGAAGTGTTGCGCTCAAAAATAACACCTCTCACTCAAAAACCCCATTTGAGCCTCCAGAGAGCAGCCTCAACGCTAACCTCTGGGTGAGGCCTCGCGGGGACCGCGTTCTAAGGGGTCAGCATCACCCACAAGCTTTTGCTCTCCCCACACACGGATCTGAGCACAGAAATTTGTAATTCTCAACCTCCGTCGCCGAAGCAACCAACTCGCCCTTTGCTGTTTGTCAAACGACCA